CCTGAAAGAAAATGTTCAACAGAATTTAAGGTAATTGGGGATAATCAATCCAACAAAAAGCGGCAACCTTTTGTAAATCTTGCTTAACAAATGTTTCCCCTGATGGAGTTTTATGGATCTGCTCAGATGGAAGATTCAGTTTGCATACATCTTCAGGTTTCAACTTCAAAGATAAGAAAATGGAAATAATGTTCCCAAATTAATAAGGTGTATGAACAATGGATGATAAAATGAACAAAAGTTTACAAGAAATGTCAGAAAGAATTACCAAGGTGCAGTAACAAAGATTATAAGCCATCATAATTGACGGGTACAATGAAGCAAAATCCAGAGTTGCAATTGGCTTTTCATAGAAACCTGTTCGTGCTTCTAAAACCTGATTATCATTTGATACACGCAAACAACAGACATGTCAGAACAGTAGAATATTCCTCGCTGATATTGTGTTTTCCTCAAAAGATTACAAATACAAACTTGAGGCAGAAACTAAATGTTGGAGCCGTAAATCACCAACTTACAGTTGCGCCTTCATAACTTCCTTGTTCGGACCCAGACTGATTAGCATTCGGAAGAACCAGGTTCTTCTGTTTAGCTTTCCTAAGAAGCTGAGATAGAACCTAGAAACAACATGTTGGGATACAATATATCAACCACCATAGTCAAATGAAACGCTGATCCAGGAACTATTAGTTGAGAATTACCTTGATACTCTGTCCTCTAGCAAGAAGAAATGAAATAGGTTTGTCCAGAAGCCTCTGAGGAACATATGCACCCTGTAACAGCAAAAAAGAAGATGGTTACGTTTTTCCTTTTTTAATAATATTCAGATGGTTGATTATTAAGAGAACAAAAAATAACTGAAACCATAAATAATGAGACCACCTTGGTTCAATAACAAAACGATCATTTCAATAAGCAAATGGAAGTACCTTCAAACAATAAACAGCAAGACGCCTCCTGGTTTCCTCATTCCCATTCTGTTTATCGGTTATTATAGAATGATGGACATCTTCTTTCTGAAGAAGAAGAAGACAATCAGGTTAGCCACATAGAAAAACAGAACGAACCGGAAAGTCTAAGCATAATTACTCAGTTTCACCTGCTCGGAAAGAAAGTGAGCTGAGACAGAATTCAGCGAATAAGAGCTTAATTTGTAGTCTCTAAGTATTGCCTACAATAAATTAAAAAAGAAGTAAGTTGATGTCTTTGGAATGAACTACAAATGAACAAACTAAAAATGGCTCAACCAAAAAGACTGCTAGAGGGACAGAAACCTGAAAAAGATTAAACTGAAATTGCCCTTCAATTGTGGTCTCTTTACTTTCYCTTGTTCCTTGTTGTCTGAAACATGGCACATGTTAGTGAACTCATGAGCCACGAAAAGCCACAACAACAAAAAAAAATTAGAAAGCGAGCAGTTTGCAAGCATCAGTTGCTCTACATCACCTTGACGAAAACCTTGAGTCCTTGACTTGGACCCTACTGTTCTTTACACGACCAAAAAGAGGAAAATCCTCTATTCCCAGTGTTGCAGCTCTCTGAGAATCAGAAAACAGCATAATTACTAGGTAAAATCGTCATATATACATGTGCCCTTCAGCAGAGCGAAACATAGCAAAATAATACACATGGAATGCTATACGAATGAAAGAGCACGCTTCTACTACCAGAGGTGATATAATGACCCCCAATAAAGGTAGATGTTAATGTTCAAGTACCTCAATCAGATACGGCAAATCGAATTTGCAGATGTTATAGCCAATGATGATATCAGGATCAACATCACGAATAAAATCCTGCAACCATTACATCTTATCCATCAGAAGAACACATGCTTCACCAAAAAATTGCAGTAACAACATAAAATTTACTAAATTCTTCGCCGAGTCCCTCCAGGTTTTAAAAAAGGTAAACTGTAACAGAGCTTGGTTGTGCAAGTTAAGGTGTCAAAAATTGAAAAAAAAATAAATGAAGGGCAAGTAGTGCACATATGGTTATAATAGACAAAAGGAGGCAAAATCAATTACCCTCCAAGCTAGTAACACCTCTCTCTGCTTCAAAAGACATGACATCTACGCCTACGATTGGAGCACATGACTTAAGAGTCATGACACTGCGTACAAATGGTTGATCCTCTCCCTGAAGAGTTACAAGATTCGCTATCTAGAAAAGCAACGAGAATGTTGTTTCAAGAGGGATGAGAATAAAGGTACCAAATATAGATATCAAATTATAGCACGAACAGCTAACCTGGATCACAGGATCATGCTTAGCCTCTGGAAAGTGTCCTTTACGACCTGCACACTCAATATCGAAACTTAGTACACGGAATGGAGCCATTTTCGAGTATTCACCTGCAGTGACATAAATTTGAATCTGTTACTCGATAAACATATTCTTGCTTTGAAAATAACTCAAGAGTTCTTAGACGAGGATACAGGCAATTGAACTCCAATTGGCAGTATGGGAAAGTTCTTGCGTTTTTCTTATATTTTCCAGCAGGCACTTCGATCCAATTTCCTCCCACAATATCGCGATCAACCATGAAACGGAGAGCAAAAACAATGTTGCTCTCATATGTTTGGAAGCTCTCCATACCCAATCCATGAAGTTGTATGCCTTTATGAACAAAGCAGCACACAATATGACCTGAATATATACCAGAAACGTAAGTTCAACAACGAAAGGCAAATGCTATGACAAATATAGCTTAAACTATGATGGGAAATCGTTATTCATATCATGTTCAACCATCTCCACAAGATACAGAAGCATAACAAGGAAACGATACCTTCTCTGGTTACACCGAAAATCCTGATGACTGCAGTTTGCCCTGAGTAAACCGGTAACAGCTCCTTGTTACTCTCCTTAAGTACATAATCAATCTCCAATTGCTGAAAAACTAACAAACCAGCAACAACAAAAATCGAAATAATGTTCAGCACTTCCCAGTATCATGAGATTGAAGAAACCCTAGAAATTTCAATCCAGTAACATAAAATACTCAACTGATACTCTCCGAATTCGAGAGAAAAGCAGGTGAGAGAGGAGGTGGAGACCAAGTCGAAGACCGTGCAGACACCTCTTCACGCTCCTCCATATCCCGAAGAATTAGGGATTCCTCATCTTCTTCGCCGAGAACTAGGGCTTCGTCCATGAACACATCCTCGTCAACAAATTCATCCTCTAGGGTTTCGATTGTCGGAGATGGAGTCGGATTACCGGTGGCTCGATGCTTCCTCGCCGGTGGGGTGTGCGACGGAGGCGGTCGCTTTTTGGGATTTCCGCCTCTTTTCATGGCTTTTTAGTTGAGAGGGAAAAAAACGATGAGGAGGAATGAGGTCGTGAAGATCTGAGAAGAAAAAAAGTGAGATTATACACAGTGCAGTGCTAGGGTTTTGATAAAAAAAAAAGCTAGGGTTTTGATAAAAAAAAAAAACGATGAGTTTTTTGTGACTGCAGTGCAGTGTATACCTTCTTTTTTCTTCACTCCTTGCGTGATTTTAACGCACTCACACACTCACATTCAGAAAGAGAAAGAGGAAATAGAGAGAGTTTGTTAGTTTTTATTTATTTATTTTTCCACAAAATAAAGTTGGATAAAGCGCGGGTTATTACCCAGAGGGCCTTCATTTGAATTATCGATGAGCCTTCATTGATTACTGACGTGTCACTTATCCAACGGCCAAAATGTTAATCGAGGAGACACGAAAATCCTAGGTGTTATCTAAAAAAGGTTTTAAGGAAATTTTAAAGAAAACTATTAAAATTTATTAATAACATTATTGTGTAAATAATTACACTAAATTTATATCACATATTCAATATATAACTATTAAACAAATACGGAAGCAAGGA